GATAAATTAGGAGTTTGGGATTAACATATACATACTACTATATATGAAATAGATAACGAACAAGGACCTACTGTTTAGCACAGGGAACTATACTCGATATCTTGTAAAAACCTATAATGGAAGAGAATGTTAAAAAAAAAACAGAAGAATATATAACTGAATCACTTTATTGTACACCTGAAACTAACACAACATTGCAAATCAACTATATTTCAATAAAAATTAAAAAAAACAACAACAACACTAAGAGGAACCAGGGCTACTTGGGGGAATGGTTGATTCCAGGTCTGGGGCAGGGAAGGAACATGATGAGCCTGGAGCATCTTCTTGCACCAGAATGTAAGAAAATGCTCAAAGAATGATAGGGTCACATCAAAAGAATAAAGGAGTCAACTTGTAGGGGATTTTATCAGCCAAATGTGGGACAAGTTGAGGATTAAAATAAATAACAGATTACAAGCCACTGAATGAAATAGGAATTCACAAATCCATACTGATATACATGAATAAACGAATGAATGAGGAGGAGGGAAAAGCTCTTCCTTATAGTAGAATGACAACTACTACATGTAGAAGAAATGATGGAAACAGAAAATCACAATCGGACAACTGTCACGATGGTAGTTAATTCATGTGGGAATCACCAATAGATGTTAAAGTTGGTGCATGCGGGTTTAACATATATAGGGTATTGGTATATTTTTGGGAGTATCTCCCCACAAAATACTTATAAATTACAAAGGGAAAAATAATGACTTTATGGTGTAGAAAACTGACAGGCACTTTAACTTGCCAGATGACTGAGGTTGGCATCACCAGGGGTGGGATGAGTTAACACAGAGTTGCTTCCTGAGGTCATCCATGGAAAACAGCACAGCATCTTCTGCAGCATTCCCATCTGCGTCTGGTTGTGAGGAAACCTCAGAATGACCCTCGTTGACAGATATCTTACAGAATGAAAAGCCTGTACCCTTTAAAACTGTTAATGTTGTGAAACAGAGGGAAAGACTGAGGAAAATGTTCCAGGTTGAAGGAAACTAACAAGATGCAAAACTCAGTGATTCTGGATGGGATGCTGAACCAGAAAGGAAAATGACATGTTGAAACACTTTTTGGAATTTGAAGGGGCCTGTGGGTTGAACAGTAGTGTCCAATCGATGGTGATTTCTTGTTTTGGATGGATGAATTAGCATGAGTTAGAGTCCTTATTTGGGGGCAGGGTGGAATTGAGTATACTGTCTTTAACCTGCTCTCAAATGATTCATAAAAAAGAATGAGGGGGAGTGGTGTGCAAAGGTAAGAGAGAGAGAAAGAATTATAAAAGATAGTGTAAATGTGGTAAAATGTTGAAAACTGAAAATTTGGGGAGAAGATATGGGAGCTCTTTGTACTGACAAGAGGTGAAGTAACAGGCAAAGGATCCATGATTGGTGGGTAATTTAGTAATATGTACAAATTTTGAGAAAAATATAACGTACCAAAAACTGACCAAGAAGAAATAGACAGTCTGAGTAGTCCTTTAATCAACAAAGAAATTGAATTAGTAGTGAAATATTTTTCCACTTATTAGACACTAGGCTCAAATGGCTTTTCCAAGAGAATTTTAATAAATGTTCAAGGAACAAATAATTCCAATCTTACACAACTTCTTCCTGAGAAAAGAAAAATAGGAAACACTACTCAACTCATTTAAGAGGTTGCCCTAATCAAGACATCAAAACGAAAGAGACCATGGTAAATTACACACTAAGCTCACTCATGAACACAGATTCAAAAATCTTAATAGGATATTAGCAAATTTAATCCAGCAATGAATAAAATAATAACCCATAATGACCAAGATGGGTCTACCAAAGGAACACAAGGCTGGTTTAACATTAAGCAATCTTTTAGTATAATTCACCACATTAATTGATTAAGGGAGAAAAAGTATAGGATCATATTATTAGATGCAGAGAATGCATTTGATAAAACTCAACATCCATTCATGATAATAATTCTCAGCAAGACAGTAGAGAAAGGACCTTTCTTAAGCTGATTAGAGGCATCTACCGTGAGCATTTAATAAAGTTCAACATCTGATTTAAAAAAAAATAGAAGTGAATTTGCATAATATGATGAAGGACAGCTATCAAAAGCCTACAGCAAAAACCATACTTTAAAGTTTAACATTAAAATAGTTTCCTCTAAAATCAGGAACAAGAAAAGATGCCTGTGACTTTTTCTCTACTCAACATTTCCCTAGCGATTCTAAAGTGCGGTAAGACAAGAAAATGATATAAAAGGTTTGAAGATTAGAAAGATACAAATAAAATTTTCATTATTTATAGATAATATAGGTTCAGTCTAGAAAACAAAAGAAACTAAAAATAAATAGTATTAGAATTAATAAAATTTAGCAAGATTGCTTAATATAAGATTAATATATAAAAATCACTTGCATTTCTATATATTAGGCACAAATACATACAAATACAACTTTTAAAAAGATGTTATTTATAATAGCAACAAAACATAAGATTAAATCATAAAATATATGCAGAATCTTCGTGGAGAAAAATCTTAAAACCTTTTGAAAAACCCAATATACAAAGTTAACACAGATACACCATGTTCAGGGATGTGAAGCCTCTATATCTCAAACTGATCTATAAATTCAATGCACTTCCAATCAACATGTCAGAGGAACTTTTTGAGGAATGTGACACTATGATTCTAAAACTTACATGGAAGATTAAAGGGTCAAGAATAACCAAGAGGGACTTCCCTGGTGGTCCAGTGGTTAAGACTCCACACTCCCAATGCAGGGGGCCTGGGTTTAATCCCTGGTTGGGGAACTAGATCCTGCATTCATGCTGCAACTAAGAGTCCACACACCACAGCTAAGAAGTCCGCATGCCGCAACTAAGAAGTCCACATGACACAACTAAAGATCTCACATGCTGTAACGAAGATCCTGCACGCCGCAACTAAGACCCGGAACAGCCTAAATAAATATTTTTTAAAACATTAAAAATAAGAGAGAGAATAACCAAGATATTCCTGAAGAAAATAAGGTGTTTTGGGTGGGTGGTAAGGGGGCAGAGGTGTAATCAACCAATGGTATACAATATAGAACCCAGAAACAGACTCATGTGTATATGGAAATCTGATACATGACAGAGGTGACACAGTCGATCAATGAGAAAATGGTGCTGGGATAACTGATAATCCAAGTGGAAAAAAAACTGGATCCCTACCTTACATCATACACTAAAATAAATTCTAGATGAATGAGGAACAAATATAAAAAGGAAAAACTTATGGCTTTTTTTTTTTTTTTTTTTTTTTTT